ATTAAACAAAACTGCACAAGCCCAACCACATTGCAAGTCGAAAGCCGTGCAGATTTAAGAAAAAAATATTGTTGAGTGTTTAAAAAAAATGTTTTCATAAATTATGCAGTGATACCTAGTTTCACGCTATTTTTAAGAGCTAAAACTGCGCTCACGCCATCAAAAAATTGTTTTCGTCAAAAGTACTTTAGGGCATGGCTACGGACAATGCGGCAAAAGGCCATGAATTTTTTTTTAGAAATCGAAGGTGGTCGGACGCAACGTCTGGGACGTTTGACATGGAATGACCCATCATCGCTCACTCGGCGCTGAGGCTCATATTCGCAAAAGTCAGAGCACTGTACAAAGTTGGAGCTTGGAAGTCACTACACAAATACACACGCGCACACTAAAAGCGCAACATCGAATACACTCTGCGCTTGTTTGGCAAACGAGTCGAAGAACAGAATTTGTACTTTTTTGTTTTCAGCTGTGCTTGACTGCTCCTATCAGCTTTTACACACAAGACCCAATGCAAAATGCGTTCCTTTTGCACGTAAAGGCTACCGTGATATGTGACATTTTCTTTGCCAAATGCGTCTGAGCCATCTGCGACTCAACTAGATGAGGAATCGGTATACAAAATCTTTAGATATGTAGACGACTACTTGGTTGTTATAAGAAGGTCTGAGTGTGTTTGGGAGGAAATAACTGATGGCAGTTTTTGATGTTTTCGAATGGTGCACGGAAGCGCTCAGATTCACGCACGAACTTCGGGATGGTTGCTTTTTACAATTTCTAAACCTTAGGTTAGAATTCACAGGCAGTCATGTTTGCTGGTCGTAAAACCCAAGATCGAAGAAGGGTCTCCTTCCTTTCGACTCTACGCATTCTAAACTCGTAATTTCATCTTGCCTACATGCGGTTTTGGAGAAATCATGCCACCATGTAAAGCATGCCAGTTTCGGCCGGCAGCTGGAGCAACTGGTTGCGGCTGGATTTCCCACATCGTTGTTTGTACCTGCTCCAGAGTCGCTACTTAAGAAAGTAAGGGGAGGGCAGTGCAAAAAAAGATAGGTAAATTAAGAGAGCGATATTCATTCCCTACCTTCATCAAATATCCCACAATCTAAGAGTGGCCCAGTGATACGACACGCTTACGGTGTTTTCTGCACCTAGCAAACTCGCGCACTTGTGCCTAAGGGTTGCCAACAAAATTGTATCCAAGCGCATTTTCCCAGTCAAATATAGGAACAAATATGTGGAATGTACGACAGGCGTCGTGTATATAGGAAGGTTTACGCTGACGTGCGGCGAGGTATTCGTCGGCCAAACGGGCCGATGTATGAATGAAATATTGGGTGAGCATGCTTGGTCTCTACGGTCGACAGCTGGGGGGCACTTGGCGCTTCATTGCGCAAATTGTGGATGCCAGCCCGAGTTCCATCACGTCACGGTTGCTGAAAGCTGGGGGGGGGGGGGGGGGGAGATCAGAGGGCTAGCGAAAGTTTGGAGGCCTACACAATCAAGAAAGGGTTTGGGCAGCAAAGGCCAAACATCGGTCCTTATACATAGCGAAGAGACATGATATCTGGACACGTGCTGAATTGGCCATGCTGGTGGTGAATGCTGTTGCTTACTTCGGTGTTAATTACCAATAAAAACTTCATTTGAGTATAAACGCTTGTCCTGTGCTAACCTTCTACTCTGTCTGCATTTGTTATGCCCTGTGTCGAACCTACTAAGCATGAACCAGCTAGCACGAATCGCCACCCTAAATATTGGTCCAGTGCGTCAAGAAATAACGTTTTACGGGATAGAAAATTACCCAGTTCTGCGAAGAAACTGCCAATCTTTTTGTAACTTGCTTATTTGCGCAACAACCACGGTAGCGAACTGCGGCTTTAGAAGTGAAGGAAAATGGGAAGGGATTTACCAAAAGCAACCCATAATTGTTGGGAATTAATATCCTGTAACTGATTAATTAAATTGTTGAGTTTCGTATGATATCATCGTTGGCTGTAATCATGCGAAAAGTATAAACTTTTGGACACATCGCGCTTCGCGTGGCCAGTTTAAAAGCCTCTGGATTATTGTCTCAGTAACATCCTTGACCCCTCGCCATCCCGGCCAGGTTTGGGGACGGCCAGGAGTTTAGCAGGAGCCAGAGGGCTACAATGTCGCTGAAAGTCGGGAACAGCATGACAGCAGCCGCCTTATTAGAGATTAGCGAAATCAGCACTCCACACCACTCTGTCGTCGTCGTGGTCGACCATCATTTTTGATATAAATCAAATTTTGGTATAAATCTCGCCGCTGCGTTCCGTGACACGATAGAAGATACGAGTTGGGATGACGTCTATAATGAAAACGACCAAAATTTCAGTTATACATTTTTTTTTACTGAAGATAAAGCAGATTTACAATGAAGCATTTCCTCTACGACCGATAATAAAATACAAAAGATCTAGGAAACCGTGGGTTACACTAGAATTGTATAAAAGAATTGAGGAACGTAACAAACTCTACGACAAGTTTATCCGTCTAAGGGACCAGGCAATATTACTGGAACGTAAACAAAAAAGAAAGAAATTAAGTAAGGACCTTAAGAAAGCAAGAGAAGAATACCATAAAAACAAGCTCGCAGCTGTATTGAATAAACCTAGGAAACTTTGCAGTACAGTCAGAAGCCTATTTGGAAATCCAAAAAGTAAAATACCTTGTAAACTAACGTTTGATGGTATTCAGTAAAGTGATGCCTTTTTGGCGGACAAATTTAATTCGTATTTTATTAGTGCTGGTTCGTCACTGCAACTACGTGGGTCAAAAGAACGCCTTGGCAAGTAAATTTCATCTGCAGTCAGAGACTCTATTTTCTTGAACCCAACTGATGAACAAAAAATATACCTAATTCTTAAGTCTTTAAATGTAAATAGAGCAGCCGGAGCAGATGATATTGAGGCCATACAAATCATAGCTGTCGCTCATCTTTTGTTTTCTCCTCTGCTGCTTATATGTAATGCATTATACACTGGTACTTTTCCGAATGGCATGAAAATTTCAAGAGTTGCTGTTTTGCGCAAAGGAGGTTCTTTGACAACATTAATAACTGTAGGCTTATATCCGTACTTCCTTTGTTTTCAAAAGTATTGGAATATCTGATAAAAAAATGTTTTACTAAGTTTTTGATTGATAGAGAAGCTTTTGTGATGCAGCAATAAGGTTTTCAAGAAAAAAAGTCAACAGAAATGGCGCTACTTAATATCAAAGAAAAATTAATCAATAATTTTGAAAATAAACCATTTACCATTGGAATATTTCTAGACTTTAGAAAAACGTTCGATTCTATTAAACTTAATATATTGTTTTATAAACTACCGTGTTATGGAATTCGACGTGTTGCTTTAGATTTGGTACGTAGTTACTTATCTTGTCGGTCACAATATATGTGTTTCAGTGGATACCGGTCCAAGTCAGAACAAATTTCGCATGGGGTTCCACAGGGGTCTATTTTAGGTCCTCTGTTTTTTATTATTTATATTAATGATATTGTGCGTATACCAAACACTGCTGGGATAGTTTTGTAGGCCGACGATACAAGCTTATTTTTTTCTTGTCCATTTTTATGTGATCTAGAAGTTACTGCTTACACGTGGCTCAACGAGTTATCGGATTGGCTTGACTCTAATCAACTTCAGTTAAATGTTACGAAAACAAAATAAGTAATTTTTTAACCACGAAGTAAACCTGACGATTGTGAAATTCTTTTAAAATTCCAAGACTCTGTGATCGAGTGTGTCAACGTTTATGAATTTTTGGGAGTTGTTTTTGAAGAAAATCTAAGCCTGGACACCTCATATAAATAAAATGCATGCAAGAATCTCAAGATCTATTGGTATTTTATACAACATTAGATCGCTGGTTCCACGCTGGTTAAAACGTCAGTTGTGCTATACTTTAGTGTACTCTCATGTCCATTGCTGTTTATTAGGTTGGGGTTCAACAAATAAAACAAATATTAATAGGTTGTTTCTTTTGCAAAAAAAAAAAAGAAAAGCGATACGTTGTATAGAAGACCGCCAGCGTACTGACCACACAGCACAGCTATTTTTAAATACGGTTTTCTTACCATTAGTCAGCTATTCCTTCTTACACTTTCAATGTATATCTATAACAAAATAACCAGTGACTCCACCCGTTTTTTTTTTTTTGACGCACTTCTTCCTAGTAACACTCGATACAATCTTCGTCATGGCTCCTATAGAATACCTTGGTCTAGGACAAATTATGGACATCACCATTTAGCATACTTAATACTTGATTTCTTAAATAAACATCCCGCTGTTAGGGAAATAATTTCAGATTGTGTACCAAAACACAGCTTTAAAATTAGTATAAAGCGGTACCTTCTTTCGTGTCACGTTGAGTAAATAGTTTTAGATCGCATTTTCATTGCTTATGAGTTGTATTACCCGTTTCATTTATTTCCAAAGTGTTAAGTGCACTAGCAATTGTATGAGCTCTGTACAAAATATGCCGTGTTGATTGATTTGGATGTGCTATTGTATTTTCTTGTACTTCTTTAATGTTTATTGTATTTGTGTTCGCCTGCTGGGCATTGTAAACGGGCGACAGGGCCACGTCAGGCAGAGTTAATCTGCCTTTTGTCCTGCTACCCTTGACCTAGTGTCTAAATAAAACCAATTAAATTCAATCACTGTCAGCGTTGCGGCACGTCCGACATTAGCTTCGCCGCTTTGAACATCATGCAGAAGAAGCATGTTTCTAATGTTGCTATTCTAATGAACTTGGTATATTGAGCGTCTGCTTAATATGTTACCTTAACGCGGACACACTCGGTAACTAGATGCAAAAAAGTAGAGACATTTTTTTTTATTTTCTGTAAAACTCTAAACACCTATGCAACACAAGTGATTTCGTCCGAAGGTTGCACAGATGATCTCAGTAATTGTTTTAATAACATACAGGTATGAAAGGTCTTTAGACTTTCCTGAAACACACTAATAATAAATGCTGGATTCTGTATCATTTGCTGGCTTGCATGTGCAATCACTAGGATCTTGAACGCACGGAAGGATGAAGTTTTCCATGAAGGGCTTGATTCTAAGGAAGTACATCGGGAGATCGGTGACGTTGCATGGCAACTCGGTAGCGGTTATTAGTCCTATCAAGGTCCAGCGGCCATCCTTTGTCTTGTACACCAGCGGGCCTCCACTGTCGCCCTGTTTAAGAATCAAAAAGGCGAATGGAACAAATTAAAGGGATTAAATGGCGAGAACCCTCGCGAATGCTAATTTACATTAATTCACGTCTAATTAGGATATAGCGCATTGTGGGGCAGCCATCGCGTTAGTGTGACGCCTTCCATTTTCGTGCCAAAGAAACCTGTGGCTCGTATTTACTAATAAGCGTACTCTCATTGAAAGGTACTTGGAAAGCAACGTGTCTGCACGGCCACGCACTTTTAATTTGTGTTGTAACTCAAAACAGGAGCCACTAGACATTAACAAATATTTGAGTGGTGGAACGGGTTTAGTTTACAATTCCGGATGTTACTGTCCGCTGCTATCGAAGCTTTAGAAGTTATAACAATCAGTTCTAAAATTGCCAATCAAACTTCCGTGATCACCTCAGAGAGCACTGGTTCGAAGAGCTCTACTGGGGGACGCAGAGAAAGTGTGAATACACCTGGGCTCCTATTTCTCGGAGCTTGTTTCTATACCGAGTTCATTCATAAACTGACAGTGCGGGGGAATCAACGTGCTTGTTAGACCAGTTCTATGTCTATATTTTTCCATACAATCTTGCTCCCACCCATACTAGCGAGCAGAGAGCGGAGTCAGTTGGTGAGAGGGAAGCGGTTGAGTGATCCGGCGAGCGCGTAGCTTCCATCTCACTGCCAGCTTAGCGGTGAACGAAATATAGTCAGAATGCTGAATATTCGCAGTTTGTTCGTATGCCTAGATAATAGTTGTGGAGGCAGTCTATTATGACGAAAGAAATAAGAGAAAAAACAACAACGAAAAAACAGACAAGTCACGTGACTTCCGGTCCAAAAAAGAGATATATCGAGGGAAGTAGTGGTTGTAGGGATGAAGGTGCAGAATGACTGCAGGGAAGAGCTTCAGTTGTTCCGCCCCCAGCGCGAGCTTCCGAATTTCAACCACGCTTTGGCGTCTCGTGCAACTCGAGCGCACGCGGTGCCAAAGCACAGTTGAAGGCGCTGACAGTTTGCTGGCGAACGGGTGTTCTGAAGACACTCCGTATCATTCTCATTCTGTGAGTGAGCACAATTGACAGCGTTCTTGATTGCTGACGCTAGAAAATGTCGCATTCTGAGTTTTGTCACTATTAATATTACGGAGACTGGCTGCACCCCGTCCTCCTTGGGCTGCCAGCTGTTTTTAGGGCCGTTGTGCGCATGTGAGCACCTACGTACGATATTTATATTGACTGCAGATGTTCTTAAATGCCTTCGAAAAGAAGATCGGTATTCTTAGTACTTCAGACTTTCAGTCTTATAACTTAATAGTGCATATGTTAAAAAGTAAAAAAAGAGAAAGTTTGTCCTCACCGAGCATATAGATCCGAAGTCGTGCAGAGCGCAAACGATGTTTCCATGAAGTGACGAGTCGTTATACAGCTTATCGCATTGTTCATTCGGGATTAACCGAACCCGGGCTTCTTGGAGCATATCTGGAAATTTATTTTTGACCGAGGACCCTGGTGTCGCAACATCTTCATAGTCAAAATACTCGGTTGTGTCTGAAATATAAAATCAGATGGAGGCCGAGGGATCAAGCCAACGTTACTAAAACACTCAGTTGGGAAACTCGCCGTCGAAACCCGGGCCGCTGGCGTCCACCGAGACCGAGCTAAATGCGACAACAGCGCCACTCTTTTTCGTTTGTCTGTACTATGGTCACCTCGAGCTTTTTGAAAGCCTGTTTTTTGCGTAAAAACAAACTGAAAAGACTCTTTTTGTATGAAATTTATTGGAGTTTAGTACCAAATGATGGGCGCGTGATGTTTTTATCATCTTTAGTTCGCAAGGTTTTGCGGAACAATTAATATTGTTTTTATAAAACCATGCCTCAGCGGGCCTTTCAGGTAGCGCGTTCCGACCTAGGTGCATTTTAACTTCAGTTGTTCAACGCGGCGATTCCGGCGGGGAGACGGGGGTTCACCCCTGTCAAAGCCAAAAATAGAAGTCACGTGCAGTTTCTCGAGTGGCCGCTGCGGGAGAAATGGTGGCGTTGTGTTCGTCATTAGCTCGGTGCTCGGAGACAGATTGGGGCCATATTTTTAGGGCTGTCTCTATGGGAGTTTCCCAACTGAGTGTTTTAGTAACGTTGGCTGACCATGAAAGATTTTTTCGTAATTCTAACTGAGTTTGGAAACCATCAAATGTTTTCTAAATGAGCTCTATCTTGCGTAATTGGTCTTCAAAATTTGTGTAGGAGTTTAAAAAAAAAGTGAAAGCCGTTTACAACTCCCTGTAACACCGAATTAGAGCGCAGCTCTTGAGGAGGAGAAGGGAAGGGTACTGGGGGGTGAAGTGACCTGGGGGGGGTCACGTGACCTTGGGGGTCACGTGACGATGCCGATGATGTCATCAGTGACGTCACTGATGACGTCATCAGTGACGATGACGTTGCGGACTCCGATGACGTCATCAGCGATGATGACGATGACGATACGGATGTCGCTGACGTCATCAGTGACGTCACAGATGACGTCATCTGTGATGATGACGATGACGATGCGGATGCACCCTCGAATCCACGTGACACCCCCAGGTCACGTGACCACCCCCAGGGTCACGTGACCTTCCCGATGATCGTCACAGATGACGTCACCGGCATCCGCATCGTCATCGTTATCATCACTGATGACGTCATCAATGACGTCACTGATGACCTCACCGGCATCCGCATCGTCATCGTCATCATCACTGACGACGTCATCAGTGACGTCACTGATAACGTCACCGGCATCCGCATCGTCATCGTCATCATCACCGATGACGTCATCAGTGACGTCACTGATGACGTCACCGGCATCCGCATTGTCATCGTCATCATCACTGATGACGTCATCAGTGACGTCACTGATGACCTCACCGGCATCCGCATCGTCATCGTCATCATCACTGATGACGTCATCAGTGATGATGACGATGACGATGCGGATGCCGGTGAGGTCATCAGTGAGGATGACGTCATTGGGGAGGTCACGTGACCTCGGCGGGGGTCACGTGACCCTGGGGGTGGTCACGTGACCTGGGGGGGTGTCACGTGACCGGGGGGGGGGGGGTCACGCGACCTCGGGGGGTCACGTGACTTCAGGGGGGTCACGTGACTTTGGGTGTCACGTGACCTTGGGGGTCACGTGACCCTGGGGGAGGGGTCACGTGACCTTGGGATGACCTTGGGGGGCCACGTGACCTTGGGATGACCTTAATTACGCCGACGCCGACGCCGACGCCGACGCCAACGGCGTCGCCGTTGGCGCCGGCGTCGGCGCCGGCGTTGGCTTGAGCGGCGACGCCGTCGGCGTCGGCGTCGGCTTGAGCGGCGACGCCGACGCCGCTCAAGCCGGGAAGGGGCCCCTAAGAGCTGCGCTCTAAAAATAAAAAAACGCAAGAACGTTCGTTACTGCGAGGTGGACTTTAGTATATCTGTATTTTCTCTCCAAGTAAAATTGCTTAACGTTTGCGGTATGAAGAAATCTTAAAGGTATTAATTCCCTGGAGAAGGGAAGCAAGTAGTACAAAGAACAAGCATAAATTTTCAAGAGAGCTCAGTGACCTGTACGCGACTGGAAAATCCGCCTGGTCGTAGTTGGTAGAGCTCTTCACTGGAAATAGCGAAGTCCCTGTTTCGATACCAGGACCAGAAGGATTTTTCAAGTCGCGCAAGAGTCGCCGAGTTGTTTTTGGAGATTTGTGTTTTTCCTAGGTTCCCCTTCGCAGGTATTATTAGCTTCATTCTTGTCCAGCTCGGTTGCACATTTGCATTAATCACATTATCATCAAAAAGAATCTTGTTAATTATGAATAAGAATAGACTTCTTAAACGTCGCTAAAGATAGGTTACGTGCATTTAAACCCCCGGAAATTAAATGATGAGATCATGAGAGTTGGAAAGCTGGAAGACCTTTCGCAACGCGTTCAAGGCGAGTTTCACCATTAGAATCCTGTTTTTGAGTTTTCAAATTAATTTTGTTCTAGTGACCTATACTGTAAGTATTATATGGCTACAGGTACTGTATCCCTAGATCTACAGTTATTTTTTTAGCATGGAGGGTATCACGGAATCAGGCTCTCAATGACACTAGAGTGCCAGTATAGGGTGAGAGGAATACCTAGTGAAGGTAAAATTTTTTTTGTACTAGATATTCGGAGCGTTTGTGCCCCAGAAGCATTGAACCAAATGGATACGTGAACCTAAGCTGTTAGACGCTTTTATAGCAAGCCAATACCACAGCAACATTCGTAAAGGGGCACTGAGACCCCAAAGGTCGTATTTTTGGTGGTTGAAAACGACGCAAGTTATAGTCCTAGAAACGTAAAAAATTTCACAACGCAAAAAAAACAAACAAAAAAAAACAACTTTCCTACAAGCGAGCGCGTTTTCTTTTCGGCGCCCTCCTCTCCCTCGTCTCACCTCCTCGTATCGTTTTATTTGTGGCGCGAACAATTTGAAATTTAGAAAATTTGTAAGTTGCATTTCTGAAATATTTAATAGGGACACTCGTAAAACATCTTTTTTAACGCAATTGTGAACGCACTACGGCCCTTGTTTTGAAAATACCGAAAATCGGAGTCTGAATTAACGTCGCCTGCTGGGTTTGTATCATCCCCCAGTAAGCATGGCGGTGCTGGCGGCTGGCGGCATATATGGCTGTGAGGATGATCGGTGAGTCGGGGAATGGGTCGAAGTTCTCTTTCTTAAATGCCCATAACCTCTCAGACTTCGAAAAGGAAATCTTCAAGCGGTCACAACAACTACCGTTCGGTATCTGTTTTACCTTAGTTTCGGTGGTAACTCCGCCGGGGCAGCCTTTTACGCAGAACCGGCGCGACGTGGCCCCTCACGTCGCTGACAAAGTCCACTGCGCGTCCTCTTCGACCTCGCACCGTTTCAAAGAAATTGAGATCGCTGAAAGGGACCTAAAATAACTTCAAACTCGAAAGTGAAGCGTCGTCTCCTCACAGCAGCAGGCGGTGGGCACGGAGAAGAGAGTTATATCGCGGAACGCGGGCGAACACGACACTTGGGGTGGGATGGTTTGGAGGTGTGAAAAAAACTTGGGTTGCAGGACAATTCCATATTTGACGTCAGTGCACTAGCGCGGATCGCGTGGAAAGCTCAAATTCTGCTTTGGGAAATTGCTTATTTACTTTACAAATACTGAGTTCCCCAAGTTTCAAAGTTTGAGGATAATGTCCGGGCATCGTTTTCAATCGTTTCGGATTATAAAGAATATCTTATTTTGACATGTTAGCGCCTCCTTTAAGCACATCTGAGTGCATCGGTATACCTTACCTTCAGTTACTTCTTGGGATTTTTTCTCGGAGCCGGGGTTTACTGTCATCAAATCTTCTTTGGCATGAGACCCGTCCATATCTTTAGACAAAGACTGGTTCTTCCATATGAGCGCTGCAAAAAGGAGAAGAAAAGAAAAAAGAGATATTGATTACTGTACCTCGATTCTGTAGGTGCTAGCATTTAAGAGTGCATTAACATCGTTAAATGATTACAACAAATTGTTGCGAGTGTAGTTCCATATAATATGCATATATAATTATAAACTATATTGTTAATAGAATTCATCAAAGCATTGGGAAATCAGGGGCTGTATGGGGAGCGAAGGCGATTTATTGTTCTTTGGCACTATGCATCACAATTTCCGTCCGGGCGTTTGATACACACGGCGAGGACTTTAGAATACACATTTTAACCACAATGTATTTAGACGTTCTGTAAACCAATATGGACAGTTTTTAGAACAGTTTTTGCATATTTGGGTCTCGCATCGAGGCGTTGGCCAGTATTGAGTTACACGGAGAAAAGTCAGTGAGACCAGCAAGCGAGAGTTCAGTTTTGTTAGGAATATAATGAAACGTGGCTTTGCAATAGTTTACCAGACACTAATTACTTCAGTCCGAAATTCAATGTATATCGCCGAGATAGAGACTATTCTTGTACAGGGCAGAAGCTAGGCGGTGGTGTTTTGATTGCCTGTGAAGACTCTGTTGCCTCGCATAGCAGGTTTGACCTGGAATCTTACTCGGAATGTGTATGGGTGGAAATTAAGGCAAGTGACGGTTTTAATTATCTTTTGGGTACGTATTATTTTTCGCCTCTTTCTGACCAGACAGTTTTTATTGAGCATTTTGAGGCAATCAGAAAACAAATTAATTTCGATAAGTATCGTGTGCAAATATATGGAGACTTTAATTTACCAGGTGTTGACTGGGCACTTCAAATTGTGAATAGCAACAGCATCACAACTAACAAAGCATCTTCGTTATTATCTTTTATAAACTTCTGCGGGCTCGAACAGCACAATACGATAAAAAATAGCGTAGGAAATATTCTTGATTTTGCTCTTTCGAATATGCCGATTTTAAACTTGAGTCCTGCCTTCGATCCCCTTGTACAGATCGATGTTTTCCATCCACCTTTTATTGTCCAGTTTTATCTTCCCTTCAGGTCACGAGTATTGTGTATGCCATCAAATTATTGCTTTTCGAAAGGTGATTATATGAGTGTTTATAGATCTATCGAGAATTTTGACTGGAGCAATGTTCTTGCTATGTCGGATGTCGATCGCGTTAGCGAGACGCTTACCTCAGTTACTAAAGATGCTGTCGATAGCTTTGTGCCTAAAAACATAAACAAAATTTCCATCTATTCTAACTGGTTTTCGCAAGAACTTAAAGTATACCTGCGCAAAAAAGAACATTTTCACAGACTCTTCAAAAATACTGGTTATACACTTTGGTACACCAAATTTAGCATATATCGTGCTTTAGCAAAAAAATTGTTCAAGCGTGATAAACGTTTTCACCTCGATAGCGTTGAGAATAGCTTGATTCGTCGACCAAAAAAGTTCTGGCAGTTTGTAAAACACCACACGCGCGATGCAAGTCGAGGCATCTGTTTACGTGATGATGTAGTGCACACACCGGCCTATCATTCGTCGCCTGATGACGTTGCAAATATTTTTGCCGATTATTTTAGCAAATGTTACACTAGCTGCCACGGGTCTTTCCGACCTGGTGACGATAAGATAAGCTGTCATGACTTCTTGCATTCCGTACAAGTGGATCATGTCGAAATTGCGGAAGCGATAAGAAAATTAAAACCAAAGTTTTCAAGTGGTGTTGATGGTATACTGAGTTTTATAATCAAAGGATGCGGTGATTTGTTTGTTCCCATTTTAAAGCACATGTTGAATCTTTCGCTTAGTTCTGGGGTCTTTCCATCTCTTTGGAAGAAATCAGTTATTGTTCCGATTTTAAAGAGTGGTGATGCCTCGGTTGTTACGAATTATCGTCCTGTTTCTCTGCTCTGTGGGTTTTCTAAGGTTTTCGAGATTGTTGTACATACCCGGATGCTCTTTTATTTCCGTCAAAAATTAACACCTTTGCAGCATGGGTTCCTGAGTGGTAGGTCTGTCCAGACTAATTTGTGTACTTTTCTTGATTTTTGCGCTCCATTTGTTACAAATAGGGGGCAGGTAGACACAATATACTTTGATATGACTAAAGCTTTTGATAAGGTCAGTCACAAATTACTCTTGCATAAATTATTTTTATATGGTCTATCCCCAGAGTTATGTCAGTGGTTCCAGAGTTACCTGTCACTCCGCTCGAACTCTGTTCGCGTTGTTGATAGTTATTCCCATAGTTACTTTTCAACGTCAGGTGTTCCACAGGGGTCAATCCTGGGCCCTCTCTTGTTTTTAATATTTATAAATGATATAGTATCTTGTGTCCAGAGTTCCCAGTTGTTACTTTTTGCTGATGATATCAAGTTGTTTAGAATGATTCACTCTCCTGTGGACTGCGAGATCCTACAGCGTGATGTGTCCCTCATTTTTCAGTGGTGTGAACAAAATCTATTATTGCTTAATCCTGCAAAAACAAAGGTCCTATCCTTGTGCCAACGCCATGTGCCTTTCAGTTTTACTTATCATCTTGATATCATGCCAATTGAACCTGTACTGTGTGTGAAGGATCTTGGCGTGTACGTTGATAGTGCCTTGCCTTTTAGAAATCATGTATCTTTTGTGGTAGGAAGTTCTATGAGAGTTCTGGGAATCATATCACGTTTGTCGAAGAATTTCAGGAGGCCTCATTGTTTGTTACATCTTTACAAATCTTTAGTTAGGTCACGTTTGGAATTTGCCTCGGTAATATGGAACTCAATATCTAGGGCACAGGCCTTGACCATCGAAAATGTTCAAAAAAGATTGATTCGTATTGTTTACGATAGGTACTTTGAAAGGCGCTGTTATTATGACTATGAATACATACTTAGGTCATTTTCGCTTACACTCTTGTCTGAAAGGCGAACGATTCATGATTTTGTATTTTTGCATAAGGTTGTGAATAGTGTAATTGATTCGCCATCAATGCTCAGCAAAGTTAATTTTCATGTTAACTTACGCCATACTAGACATCCCGTATGCTTTGATGTACGTTCACCTTGTTGTACTTCACCGCTTTCTCGGATTCAGACATTATACAACAGCATTGCTCCTAAGCACCTCGATTTCTGTACATCCATTTCATTGTACCGCCATCAGTTGAATAACCTTGTAATTTACTGATAACATTTTGTTTGTTTATTTTTTTTTTGGGGTGATGGTAATATGCCAACGTGTTTCTAGGATTGAACAGGTGCACCAAAGTGAAGACCGCTGTGGTTGTTTTTGGGCACTGGAAATAAAGTCATTATTATTATTATTATTATTATTATGCATTCGTATCACCACGGCGCTTCATAATTCCATGCCGATTTTACCAGTTAGAAAGGAACACCTAAATTACGTTTTGTTCGTTTTTTTATAAAAGGGCATGAATTCTACGCGATTTATGTGTATGCCGAAATCACTACCCCAAAACAACTGCCTTGGACTTTTTAAAAAAATACAGTATTTTTATTTATCTGCTTATGCGAATAAGTGACCATAAATTACTTTGATAGGAATTTATCAGCCTCAACTTTTATTTGCTGCCAAAACCTTTGATTTTGTTCTTTGACGCTATAATCACTGTAGCTTATGCGAACGCGTTCATATTTACTATATAAATATCTGTTATCGGGTATCCTTCCTAAAAAAAAAGTGCTTTCATGAGGTAGTTTCTTACGAACTTTGCCGTTCCGAACCGTCACTCTCATACAGAACAGCAAGTAAGCTTACGTAATGACAAGAAAACACGCTTAAAAAGAGCATATTGCAAGAAAAATAAGAAAATAAAGTGTTAATCGTTATGTAACATTTCAAACATTTCCTGAGGAGCGAGTGTTAAATTTTGAATTTTTTTTTACGATGTACCGCTGATTTTAACACCGCAGGAAAATGAATATAAGTGCTGCTCAACCACACATTGAATTTTAATGTTTTAAAGAGTCCCTTCAAAACAATAAAATAGTTTAAATGCAGATTTTATGTATGCTATAAAATTATAATTTGACAGGCCCTTTGGTGGAACCGTAGCAGTGTACTGGAAAAGCGCTTTCAGTAATACCTGAAAAGTTTAATACGCTGTTGTACCACAAATAAAAATCAGTGACGCATCTTCGTGTAATAAACGAACTCTAACTGGTAGTTAGGTGTAACCTAATCTGTTTTTACAGGGGTATACTGCAGCGCCCAAAGGGATTATCACCGGAAAGCTAACAAATTAATCCAAATCATTGACGTTATGTAACTGTGTGTCCGCTTTCATTCTCGAACTATTGTTGGACAAAAGGATTATATGAAGCAGCAATTACGTACAACGTTTACATTTTTAACTTCGCTATCTTGATCGGACATTTGCGAATTAATGTATGACTATACTCCGTCTCATCGTACGATGGACTAAAGCCCAGTGCTACAGGCCGCTGGGTCCAATAAGGAACCCGATAAGGCCGCGTGATTTGTTTGCTGACTGCGTACGCTTGCTACTACTGAAGACTACAGAAGGGACTAAATATCATCTGTATGCGATGTGACGAAGAGAACCCGGGATAAGAACCAGTGGCCATTAAGAAATGAAGATGAGTCGGAGCGAGTGTTCGACAAGGGAGCGTATGTTCAGACTACGTGTGGATACAGGTCCAGGTGCGTTCACAAAGTTTGGATTGAATTGACTAAACGACTGGCGCCCTCCAGCAGCTCCAAACAGTTGACATGTTTACGAAATATTGCATGAATGTTTATGAGGCTGAATACCGTGTACCTTTCCTTCACCAATATAAAATAGCAAACGTTCAAAACAGAAAACCATGAGCGAAAAATTAGTGCTCTTCGTACTCTGCGTATCGAAAGTTCTCTCGCGCACTCCTTTGAAATTTGCCCCCCCCCCCCCCCCCCCCCCCCCTTGGCCTTGGGGCCCTAGCTCATCGCAGGGTGAGACGGAGTATAGTACCAAATCTGCTCTTTTTGGTTATTGTTTTGTTTGAGTATATGTTATTCATCAGTATTGACCAAAGCGAGTATTGACAGAAATACGACGGCCTAATTGAAATGTACTGATGCGCTCGTAGTAGCAGTACGTGAAAAAAAAAAAGCCGTGGAGGTTTTTTGAGCGGTTTGTAAATCCTAGGTATGTTCCTCCAGAACTATTTTCAGTGGAATATACGCCAAAGGACTACACTTGTTCACCTAACGCTACAAGTTAAATATTTATAGATTAAGGGCAAAGGAATGGAAAGTGTTATCTCGTAAACCGCACATTGTAGCACGTCCAAACGCCCCACCGCCATTTTCCTGCTATTACTCCAGCTTAGAATACGATTAAAGTTACCTGGTGTAATGGTGTATTCTGAATAAATGTCAATATTTCCGTAAACCACACAGTCATCAGTATACAACCGGAAGATGGAAACTACATCATTTGGGAGTTGAATAATAAGGATTAAAAACTAGAAAGGTCCCAAAAAGAAAGGCTTTGTTTTTTACGAGAAAAACGGTAACGCTGGAAAATACCCGAGGTGGCATGAACTGTTTGTGATTTCGTTCCGTTAACTAAAACTACAGTAAAATTCCGGGAGAACGCACGCCCCCGAGTGGGCATCCCGTTTTTCTGGCTAATTATTTGTAACATAAAAATTTAGAAACATCGCCCACCTCCCGATTCCTGTCGGACGTCACGCGATATCCGAGAGGAATCGCACCAACCGCAGAATTCGCTGTACCGGCAGGTCTGACAAATGTGACAGGCAAATTTGTAGAGGGTTACCGCGTCTTTGTTGCGCCGTAAACATTGCACCTGCTGCGTCCGCAGCCCGCGGTATCCTTTCCCGTGGCACAGGATTTCGCAGTAAATTCCCGCGTGTTTATCGCATCGTTAAACTCTAATTTGCCGCGTCCGCAATCTGCGGTAACAGTTCCCGCGTCATGTGGTTTGTAGCCAGTGCCAGAGTGTTTAACATCAATTCTGTATAAAGTTTTGCTCTGGCATCCTGAAAGATAGCCCACCCCATGGTTTCACCATTTAATTCTTCATTTTGAGTGGGCGTTCTTTCAGAACGTTACGATGTGGACAGACAGAAACCTCTAAGATATTCGTTTTTTTATAATATTAGCCTTAGGTGTTCTGAATGACAACTTCTTTAGTTGCTCTTACGTTCAGTGTATCCCCATCCAGCAACATACATGGGAACCTCACAATCTGGATTGTTATTGATGTCGGGCACACAAACTGGTTTAATGGTTTCTGAATGTTCCACAGGCCTCTTCAGTGTTATGATGGCAATGTCAGTCTAAAAAAGAAAGGTACAAGTGGTTTGATATAATTCTAAATTGAATGAAAACAATATTACATAATTTCAGATTAGGATATTGCGATACATAAAAATTAAATTTAATGATTAGCCCTGAGGATGAACAAATCGGCGACAATCAGAATAATAAAAGTTTTAATTGGGCTTTTCTGGAGGAGGATAAAACTTGAATATTTTGAATGTTTTCCAGAATTCACTTATAGCCCTGGGAAATGAAAGAACCGTATGCGGTCTACTAAAGAAGCATAATTTTATTTACTATTTTTGCTCTATTGATTCGAATTCCAAGAGATCATGAAAAAATAGAGGATAAAACAAAAACACAACACGTACGTACTTTTTAGTGTTGTCAATTTGACAGCTACCAAGCACTATTTGAGCAATTCAGAAGTGTGAAGTAGGAAATAAAGTTTTACATAAAATATGAAACCAATCATCACACATTGTACTTAGCAGATTTTTCCACACGAAGGCAATGCATTTCTGTACGTACTCTCATGATATTACTTTCATTTGTACTTCAGATTGTCTCTCACTTTGGAAGCTTCGAAAATAAAATAAATTAATTGCATTCGGCAACAATCCGTGGTGCTCTAAGCATCATTCTTTCCGGACGACACGAATTCTCGCTAGTAAATAAGTTGTTGATGTTGAGTTTGGCTACCCTAGAGAATTGTTGCCAAACCTTTTTCCAAACCCCTTTTGACAGAATGATTGTTTGATCGTTATTATTGATTAGTGGATGGATGGATTAATGGATAGGTTATTCTAGTAAGTTCTCAACTCACATAATTAAATATGTTTCAATTGTTTTTTTTTTGTCAAGCATTTCATCATATTAGAGTCCTTATGAAAATGATTTCATAATATTTACACAACGAATTAGATAGTGATATTAACTTTTTATTGCACCGGAAGGCTTTCATTGGAAGGCGCGATATTCTTTTAGGGTAACGGTCGCAGTAACACTTTGGTGGTAACTGCATGGTAGTTTACGCAAGGCCGGTTCACACCCTTACGTTTTTCTGCAACCAAGGGCGTTGTGCAGACTTGCGCTCTCTTGTGACAAGATAACAGGCTTTTAGGTACTCCAATCTATGAGATAGCACTGAAACTGAACTTAACTAGTGTGAAGGTTTTGCAATATTTGCGATATTAATTGTATGCTCTATATACAAGAAATAGTCCTTCACAACATTGTTAAACGTATGGTAAGCTGAGGTTGAAAAAAAGATGCACAAGTAAAGGGAATGTGCGAACGTTTTAAACGATCCAGAGTTCCCCGATTGATGACGTCACTGGTCAGTGTGTTCTTTTATCATAAGCGAGGACAATTGGTTGCTCAATGTTGTTTAACACACTTGGTTGCAGTCAAACGCAAGTTTGGAAACCAGCCTATAGAATCTGAGCAGCGTTACCTGAATTTAGTAACCGCTTCAATAGTGCATAGGAATCACAAAACATAGCCCTAAAGCTGCCTTCAAACCAACGGAAATTCCTGTCTATGCTTCCAGAAGATCTTACAGAAAACCTAGATTTGAGAGAGGGAGGAACTTGAAGCAAGCGCAGCGCTTGCGGTTTAAGGCGGCCAATTCTTGTGCGGGTTGGCTGCACGTCGGCGTTTTCTCGTCAAGAGCAAGTTAGGGGGCGGAAAGGCGGAATTGCTTGCAGTCGAACGACGCTTTCCTTAACTCCTTGCACATTAATTGGACAGTTAAACTTAACTCATAATACAAATCACGTAATATCGAGTCACCAGTTTCAAGCGCTCTGAAATCCAGGCACGCGAAAAGCTTCATGATAGCGCTGTCGCCGTGGGGCGGTTAATTCCCTGCCACCTGAAGAGTGTAAAAATATTAGCGGGAGGTGGTACTTCGAACAAAGACTTACAGCGCCACCTGGTTAATGCAGGTCACTCATTAAACTGGCAACGTCCCCCGTTGAAGCACAGATATGAGAGGTTTTATTATCTGACACACCGAACTCGCTTAACTTCTCGAAATGAAGCATTCGAATGTCCATACACGTTTAAATTTTTCTGTTCTAGCGTTTTGAACATTTTTGAGCTGCTGGATAACTGGCATTTTTAGTGCGCAGCTCTTGGGCGCCCGATTTCGGCTTGAGCGGCGTCGGCGTCACCGTCGGCGGCGACGCCACCGCGCGCGTAACCGCACGGTGCATGATGTGCAAATTCGCCCGCTAAATTTAGCGGAAAATGTTCTATGCAAAATTTAGCGGAAAAATCTCCCCGCTAAATATAGCAGAAATTTGTTATCGCTAAGTTTAGCGGATAATTTCCCGCTAAATTTAGCGGAGATTTTTCTCCGCTTAATCTAGCGGAAAACATTCCCCGCTAAATTTACCGAAAAATTTTCCCCGCTAAGTCTAGCGGAAAACGTTTCCGCTAGATTTAGCGGAAAAAATTTTCCGCAAGATTTAGCAGAAAAATCTAAATCTAGCGGAAAATTTTCACCGCTAAACTTAGTGGAAAAATTTCTCCGCTAAATTTAGCGGAAAAAATTCCCCGCTAAATCTAGCGGAAATTTTTCCCCGCAAATTCTAGCGGGAAATTTTCCCAGGTATATTTAGCGGAGAAATTTCCCCACTAAATCTAGCGGAAAATTGTCCCCGCTAAATCTAGCGGAAAATTTTCTCCGCTAAATTTAGCGGTGTATTTTTTCCGCTAAATTTAGCGGAAAAATTTTTCCTATATGGGAGAGCGCAGAAGAGGAGGGGGGCATAGACCCATCTAGGTACCTTCCCCTCCTCCTCAAGAGCTGCGCTCTAATTCCGCGTTACAGGGCTTTCATTTCTTTAGAGCGCAGCTCTTAGGCGCCCGTTTCCCGCTTGAGCGGCGTCGCCGTCGGCGTAACCGTGAGGTCACATGACCCCCCAGGTCCGGAGATCACGTAACGCCCCCCTTCCCCTACCCCCCCCCCCCCGCCGAGATCAGGTGACTCCCGTGAGGGGGAGGAAGAGAAAGGAGGGGAGCGGGGAGGATGAGCAGGGGGGACGAATCCGAATTTTCATTAGTCCAAAAAATGATTTTAAAAGACTTTTATCCCTTGTCCCTCGGCCGGCTTCGAACCGGAGCCCTTTCGTTCAGGATTAGCAGGCAGGATCACGAGGGAGGAGGAGGGAGGAGGAATATGCCCTCCCCTCAGTACCCTTCCCTCCTCCTCCTCAAGAGCTGCGCTTCAATCCGGCGTTGCAGGGAGTTGTAAACGGCTTTCATTTTTTTAGTCTTCCCTTTAGCGGTAACATCACAAAAGCATTTTCTAATAGTATATACTATCAGCGCATTGACTTTCCCGAAAGTGCATAACGTATCTAGCGTTGACGAGAAATAAAGTGAGATTTAGACAAATATATAGTATATGCTGCAAGAGCAGGTCATATCGATAGTTATTTTTTAAATTGTGTTTTGTTTTTATAACAATTAGTAATTGAGTAGTTCAGTTAATTTAATTAAGTTGGATTACTATTAAATTTATTCACCACATCTAGGTCAGGTAACAATTTTTATGAGAGCGTTCATGCGGTCACTTGCCTCGAATTTGTCCTTTACAAATTGAGAGTACATGCAGATGGATTCAATTTCTTCCTTCAGTCCTTCTTTCTCTGCTTGCTGCCTGGAATAGCTCCCAAGCAAAACACTAAAGAGGTCCATGGGTATTCGGCTGTAATTTGATTATACATAGCATTACTATTTCTGTGCTTACTCTCTACTTTAACGGAACGTCATATGAACACCACCTGAGACCTAGTGCGTCCTCCTGGTTGAATTTATTCACTAAAGAAAGCTGATCAGTACAAAAGTTTCGACAAGACTACATTGCAGTCCGCCAAAGGTTTACGCGTTACACGTGACGTCAGCGTCTAGGGCGCACATGTGTTGCTCGTCTCAGCCACTGGGGGGCAGCACCGCGGGTGCAAAGATGCGCTCTGATAATGCGTTCAAACTGAGCGGTTTTTCAGAGCGGCGTAAAATGCTCTCCCTGCAGCTGCCTTATATATTCCTAAAAAATAGTTGTTTTAGTGGTTTCGGATGATGCTTGGCAAGTTTCTCAGTTGAACCACATGTTTGTTTTCACTAGCTAAAACATTAATGAATGCATTTTAGTTAATTATCTCGCTAATTAGTACGTTTTTGCAACGCTTGACGTCCGCTAAGGCCGGCAGTTTTTTACTTCAAAGAGTTCTTTTTTTAAAATTTTGAACAGCCTATATTTAGATTTTTTTTTTATATATGATGAAGAGCGGTCCCCGCTCGGAATGTCGTAATAAACATCGTATTAGAGACTCCGACAGTACGCATCTTTGACTTATTAACTTTTTCCGGTCCATTGTTTTATATTTGCCTTACTTCATCTATATCTATATAACGGGCATAGTGGCGGCAGGCCGAAGGCGTGGGTATATCATATGGAAGAAAAAAACCATTGGTGAAAACAGCAACAACGGAAGATTTATTCTTCGACGTTTCGGCCGGAGTCCGGCCTTCGTCAGGAAGGCCGTACTCCGGCCGGATTCTTCAAGCTTCAAGAACTCGAGCGTTCTAGAAACGTGTTATAAAATGAGCACACAGCAGCATTTAGGATTTACGAGATTGTAGGAAAATGAAATCCCGTGACGCGATTTTTTTTTTTTGCACAGCTTTCTAATTTTTCTTCCGTGCAAGCAGCGACCAGCGCAATACTGGTTCCTATGTCAAGATTCATGGATGCAGCCTTTTTCACGATTCATGGATGCAGCGTTTATATTCCTAAGACTGAGTGGAGAAGAAAAATATGTAAGCGAGGTGTGTGTCAGTTGACGGCACTTAAAAAACAAATGGCATTGATAGCGCATTCATTGTCAACAACGCGTGGCCGAACCGTTTTGACATGAGCCGGTAACCGTTATTTTTTCCGGTTCAGTTCCGGTTCGGGTTCATCGCGATAACAATATAACGGTTCGGGTTCGGGTTCAGTTCCGGAAAAAATACCGGTTCGGTTCCGGTTTTCGGTTCGGTTCGGTTCCGGTTCGACACCCTGATATATATATATATATAAAGAGAGAGAGAGAGAGAAAGAGAGAGAGAGAGGGAATGATAGATAGATATAGGTACACCGGGTGTTTTTTAAATTAACATATCTGATTAAAAAAAGCCGTTAAAGTTACTCACGCGGTTTGTGCAGGTGAGTTATAAGGCCAGGGGGACATACTATAGAGGGTTAATTGTAACGATGAGTTGGCTAAGTTATCTAACAACTGACTTTAACTCACAACTAACGTTAAGGGCTGAATCGCATGTAAGCCATTTAGCGATCGACGAGGCTAGCGGTGGCGATAGCGACGAAATTCAGCGACGAGCGAGGAAAAATTCCCACTGTCTTTCGTCGCGTCGGTCGGTTTCTGGATTGCTAGAAACAACACATGCTCCCGTTGCTTCCTTGCGGTTTGCCTCGTCGTTCGACTGACCGAGCGGCAGCGAAGCGGGTCGCCTTCGCTTGCCTTGTTGCTCTACAAATCGCTTACATGCGGTTTATACTTTATACTCTTTATACTTGCAACTGACATCGTCTTCTAGGCACGAGGTGCGAACTATGAGCCGTGTGCACACCACGGTCCGGAAAAAACGGCAGTGCTTTCAAGGGAAGCGACACTGGCATTTTGTTTTTCTTGAGTTTCGTAAAACTGTTGATTATTGTTGATATAAAGAAGCTATTTTCGACTGCTTTGGGATTGATTAAATGAGAACCTTACAGAATAATAGATCTAAAATTGCTTACGTCAGACAGTGAGCACTTGTCAACACATGTCGGGAGCTTATCAGGGCTCCACCGCAGCGGTGTCCGAATGGATCGACAATTTCAACCATCCATTGCCAAGCTCCAGGAGTCGCGTTTGTGCCGTTCAAAATGCGTTCACTTATCACGGAGCCTGGCGTTGTTGTAACAAGCCCACAATTCTCTGAACGGAACGGATTTGAAACGTTTTATTGTTAATGGTTACGTGGAATTAGTAAGAGGTAATGCTTTATAGAAACAAAAAAGCAGAGCGATACATTTAATTGAGATCCGGGATATAAAACAGAGAGCTAGCACAGTGGTTTTTAGATGAAAGTGTTTGACTCTTCATGTTTAACTATAATTAGTAGCACGAACTACTTACTTGGAATTGTAGCGTCAGAACATAGACGAGATGCTGTCAGTACGCTGTTACTCTAATGATTAGCCAAAACCTTAGTACACAAACAAAATAGAACGCAAGTGAAGTATTCACATTTTTAACCAGAGCAGGGAAACAGGACGGGACAACACTCTTCCCACTCCCCTGTTTTAAAATGTCAGTTTTGAAACATCTCTTCAGCACTCTTGCTTTAACGTTATTAAGTGAAGTGTAGAACTATAATGTCTTTGCAAACCAATTCGAATGACGAGACAAACGTTTGATCGCAATTGTTCACCCCAAGTTCACCCCATTTAACGTTTATTAATTCCTGTTTATTTAAAGTTCTTTCGGTCACCACCCGTATTATTCTGGTGGAGGTGCGGGGTACCGGATGTCCCTGCAACGTACCCCTCCGAGGGCCCGCAGGGCAAGTCCGACAACAAGCCCACGATGACCCGACGAAGACACTACCAAGACCCGATTAAGTCGCCGCACCCAAGGCCAACACCCGGAATGGGGAAGTTTGCTACACAGCACCTCCACCAGAATGTCACGGGTGGTGAGAAAAAAACAATAAATAAACAGGAATAAATAAACGTTTAATGGGGCGAACTTTTGTCCAAAACAAAAAGGGTGTAGAAGATAACAACAGAGCGTCGCGGGCGTCGTAGTCGGCGTAACAGCAGGATCGAACGCTGGGCGATACTGACTCCGGCTCGTCACGGGGAGCACGTTTTGTAGCGGCGTGGGTTTCTGGAACATTCAGCCTAGAACTTTCGGCGCGTAGAACATTCGTAACACGGTGAGACGAGAAAGTTCTCGAACATCCGAGAACGACAAGTAGAAAGAATAAATAAAAGAACATTCTTCTACCTGGAATGAAATTCAGATCTTACACGCGACAATTAACCGCGGTAACCATTCGGCCACGCACGTTCTCGCTCAACTGCGCGCGTGGCATTGTCTAATGTCTTGCCTGTGTAAATGGGAATGTTTGTAAACACGCACCGATTGCAACGGCCGCTTCGACGGAATTCAGTGAACCAAGAATAATGTGAGCAAATGGGGCGAGCCGCAGGTGGAGATGATTCTGCTAAAATGCAGTAATCAATAAATTTTGTTGCAGCGGCTAGTTACCTCAGACTATGCGTTTCAAAGCCAGTCTATGAGTGACTGAATGGAAAGTGCCGAATAAACAAGGATGAAGAAGGAGACAGAAACGAAGCGCATTCTCAACTGAAGTTTTATTGAAACAAACATTGACTGTTAATACCGTCTATCTAAGTGTTGGCTCAAAAAAAAATCATAATGAAAAAACGGTTAAAGTACAGGCGAGCTGGTGGATATTTACCATGATGGAACTTAACCCGAGACTGGGGTAGAAACAGAAACATAAAAGTAGAAGGGACAGAGACTAGTGAAGAAGAGAACGTCTCAAACGCAGCTAAAATATTTATTTAGTCCCACATCCTTATATACTCACAACCACAAGGTGACCCAAACACTCAACATGCCCCTTTCAAGGACACAACACAAAAAAACAAAACAAAAAAAAACAAAAAACACCAAAGACAACAATGCAAAGGGACGCCCCCTCTAGCAGTACTACGAACAGGGGCAAACCAACCACGTGTCCGGAAAGAAAAACTTTTCATTTTTCCCTTCCTTCTCTTTTATCTCTGTGTGTGACTGACACTACACCCACGAACCAACAAGACCCAAACTTTGAGTACAAAGACCAACGATCTCCGCGAACACAAATAAAACTGGGAAGAATATCTCCAAACCGGAACAACAACCACAACAGACAGATACAGAAGGACTCACTCTAAAGCAAAACCACCTCACCCTTAAAAAAAAAAAAACTTGTTTACAGTCCTAAAATGCTTTAGCATTGTTTCCCAACTGCAATGATGCCTGACTTTAACAATTACCGATTGATTTAATCTGAATGGTTTCCCTTACCAGTCTCTTACTGTCATTCACTTCTTTATGTATTATTTCCTTCTCTTACCACAAAGCAGTGGAATTGTTACATTTATTTATGTGCTTAGCTATTTCAGAATTAGTAGCGTTAATCCTTACATTTCTCTTATGTTCTGTTAGTCTGTCATTAACACACCTCGAAGTTTGCCCTACATAAGCAAAGCCACACGCCATCGGAATTTTGTACACTACACTGTTTCTGCATGAGATTGATTTTTCACGGTGACCTTTCCTGCAGTCTTGCATTTCAGTTTCAAAAGGAGTTAATCTACCTAACCTGAAATCAGAACTAAAAACTGTTTCAACTCCAAACTGCTCAGCACACGCATTCAGGTAATGTGAAATTCCATGAAAATACGGGATCACAGCCATCCGTCTTTTCGACGTGTCTTCTCTTTCCCTTTTCTCCTTGGTGTGTACATCTCAATTCCTTCTGATGAACTCTTCTTCATACCCTGCCCCTCTTAGTCTCTTCCATTGACCTTCCACCAAATTTGTGATAAAATGTATGCATGATCGGTCTAGAGCATTTCTGATCAAAGACTTTACCACTCCCGCTTTCACCGTTTTCGAATGGCAGCTACTTTTTGACAGAACAGGTTTCGGGTTTTCTTTGCCGTACTCCCAGCAGAGACCTTTATCAGTGTGAATCCGCAGATCCAAGAATTGTAATATTCCATTCTCCGGTTTCTCTACGGTGAAGCGTAGTTCAGGGGCTGCTGATCTTATCAAATGCTCGAGACCGTTCAGCAGGTCATCCCGGAAGGTGCACACAAAAATATCATCCATATAACGCCTCGCAAAACACATGTCCTCTCCAAAACCTTGAATTCGATCAAACAAAACAGAGTCCAACGAGTTCAGATACACCTCCGATAAAGCCGGTGCAACCGAGGACCCAATGCACACGCCTTCCTTCTGTACAAACTTTTTTCCTTCATACTCCACAACCGTAAACTGAAGATAATAATCAAGAATGACAAAAAAACTGTCTAGCGAAATGCCTGTTTGGGATTGAAACTGAAAGATATTCGATTCTAGCGCATCCTTCACCCTTGTCATCAATCTATTTTTCTCCAGAGAATAATAGAGGTCCTTCATGTCCATCGATAAAACTGAACATTCTCTCCCGTGGTTGACCTCCAATATACTGATTAACTCGTTCGAATTCCTGAGGGACAATGACTTCTCTACATGAGTAAACTATAGGCCGTTCTGTAGAAACCTTGAAACTGATTTCTGCCACGTGCCACATTCGTTAATCACCGCCCAAAGAGGCATTTCCGGTTTATGATCCTTTAAGAAAAATTTTACACTTAGCGTTGACCGCATTGGACCTAACAGACTCTTTGCCACACCTTCCACATCGTCCTCCTTAAGAACCGAACCGATCTTTGCCCTTAGCTTAGCAAGGTTTCCATTCCATTCATAGAAAAGTGAATTCATCGATTCGTCCGTTTTCATTCGAAAGACAGACTCGGGAAGGATGGCGAATTTCCCAGATTTGTCCGTTTGCAGTAACTTCACTGACCTCGCTTTCAAGTCTTTTTTGACCCCACGGATTTCACGAAAATTTATCTTGTCATTTGGATACCCGTTTCCCATCACTTTCTCCATTTTACTAACAGCACCATCTATAAACGCTACTCGCTCATCAGGGTTAACCTTCCTGCCAATAGTCTGCATGCACGAAAAAACATCCAGCTTTGATGGCTTTATGTTTAAACAACATTTCGGTCCTCTCCCCAAAATTTCTTCCGATTTTGACGAAATAAGTTCACTGTACGGGTTAACAACCGACGTCTGAGGCATACAACCACCATTATTGTAGACCCAAGACTTCCCGCTCTCCTCACGCCTGGAACCACACTTGATACTGTCCAAAACAATCCTACGTTTCACATACCAAAGACGGTCGAAACGGGCCTTCTTCATTCTGTTCCAGTGCTGGTAGTCCGGGTGGTGCTTGAACTCACTTCCAACCAGGAGGGACCAAAGTCTTTCACACGCGCTGTGGATATCCTGGATCCTTTGAGATGCACCATCTCTGTAAGCCTTGATTATCTTCTTCTTGAACCTCCACGGTATCCCCGATGTCGATAGATGCTTGAAGAGTTGTGGATCAATGTAGTTCTTCCGCAAAGAGATGCCAAAAAACGCAACGTCGGCTTCTAATTCCGCAAGACGGCTACCCAATTTGTCCAGCAGGTTGAAAGCTTAATTTTTTCGGCTTAATTAAAGCTTAATTCTCGGGTTAAGTTCCATCATGGTAAACAAAACTTTTTATCTGTTAAGTGCAGTGACGGCGCACTAATGCGGAGACTCTCCCCTTGCTCTCTTTTGCGGAATGCCTCATGTATATCTCGCCCTGTTTTGTTAGCGTATCTGCCCAGAACTGTTTTTCTTTCAATTCCGGGCCACATGGGCGCCTAATGCAGTTCACCGCGAGATTGCCCGACGGGGACTGTTTCACTGACCAAGCATGTTCCCAGGCCCTCTCATTTATGCAACTCCCCGTTTGGCCCACATACGATTTCCCGGAACTCATTGGTATTTATATACCACTGACGTTGCGCACTCCACGTATTGCTTAGCGTGTCTCTTTTAACACACTTTACCCTCTCCCTTTTCGTTGTTTATTTTTTAACATAGGTGAGACAGATTGTGTGGCGCTGAAGCCCCCACTGGTACTTCAATATGAGCCGCCACTTTTTTAGATTGTGAGATAGATTGTGAATGCAAGGAATCACCGCCGGTCTTGTTAGTTGTCTGGAAGGAATATGATCGTCATCTTTTTTCTTCATCTTGGAAACCAGGTTATCCGCTACTTCCCTCAAGAAGCCATCGGGGTACTCTCCGGGTCCGACTAAGTACGATAGCTCGCACACTCTAGATTCCTGAGAGACTTTGCTCCGCAGCTCAAACCCCAAAGTCCAGCAGGAGATCATCGGTCATGCCCTTGCTGTTGTTGTGTCTTAAGGCATTCCGGCCGACGGCTAGGGACGACGGGGGAGATGGACTTCTCTCCTGACGGTCATTGACTGGTGTTTCAGTGAACTGGTTCCTCTCTCTCTCTCTCTGTCTCACCGTATTTTTTTTTGTCATTTTTGTTTTCCTTTCGCGTTGAATTGGGACGGTGCGCTTTTAAACGGAGAGACAATTAAACGCGCAAAGCCGAAAAGCAACGCTTGGTCACGGACTTCTAGAAGATTCGCTTTCTCTCGCTTACTGTTACGCGGACAAATCACCGCCCGCTTTTCTTCTGTCCCCGCGCTGACTTTTTATCTTGTTTAGCAAGAGTTTGCCGATAAAACGTTTCGTTTCAGTTACTTATTTATCATTTTTGGCCTTACGCCGTGACAATATGTTACAATAGTATTTAGATGTGAAACTAGAAACTGTACACAATTCCAGTGTTAATGTTTGATGGTGCCGGCCTCTTATACCGTATGTCGAGAACATTTTCCTAATTAGAGAAAATAATTTTGAGTTGAACTTGCTTGCGAGATACTTCTAGGAAATTACCACATCGACTTGGCCTATTGGGGGTCTACATTCTAGATCACAACAAAATCCAGCTGAACTACGTTGAGTATAGCATATTAAGCACAATGTAGCTGTATAATCTTGAACTTTACAATGGTTTGCATAACTCTAGTGGTGAAAACGCGCTACATCTCAATTACATTTCATTAACACATGCTAGAATTTACATACCGGTTAAACGAGGAGAAGATGCGGAGTTGTGTTTTAAGTAGAAAATAATCAGGATCAATACGTCGGCTTTCATTTTACGGCTTCTCTCGAAAGGCGCAGGGCTTCACGCACGCTTTGCCTTTTTATATAAGCAAACAGCTCTAAATCAAACTGTTTGTCTGTTTTTTTCATTGTTAAATGTCGTGACGTGAACCACTTGCCTTTCAAATAAGGTTTATTTACTCAAGGCGTGTGCAAAGAAATAAAAATTAAGGCTGAGGTTAAACAACTGACATTTAGGAAAGGCCACACTGAATGTTAAAAGGAAATAAACGAGGATAGGCAGATGACACACTACGCAACCTACCACGTGAAGAAGCTTCTAGCGTACGTCCATCTACCAAGTTGCGAAATTTTAACAACGCAAGAAACCAACTCAACTGCCTCTTGATAATTAACCATGGAATCAGCATATCTCAGTAACAAAAAAAAAAAAAAAAAAAAAAATGCAATGCCGCTTTGACGTGTGCTCTGAATGGGAACCTAATTATTTTGACTGTTCGTCAATTTGTATATGTAATGTTTATAAAATGAATGCTTTGGTTTCTAGCCGATATGATAACCGTCACTTAGATCCACGCAAATGTGAATTCTTTTATGGAAATTTCGAAACTGACTTGTATATGCTTTTATGCACCGAAAACCATCATTTACAAAAAAAAAAAAAAAAAATTGATGACATTTTTTGATGAACGTTTCATGAACAATTATCATATAACAAATTATATAATTTATTTTGTTTGCTTTAGGGCCATGAAGCGATTACTGCAACAATTTCACTCTAATATGAGGGTTGCATAAATACCAGGCGGCGCATGCTGCCGGATAATTGAAGAAGCTGAGCATTAAGCTGACGTGTATCTAATGTGTTACAGAAGCAACTGAAACAGCTGGCGTCATCGGTTCGATAACAGTCGTAATAATCGTGCAACCCAGCTACCCGGATCCGGGTTCAGTGTCCAAGGCCTGCGAAGTGCAGGAATACACGCGCGCGAATCGATAACTCACGTCGGCGGAGGAGAGCAGAAGCAGGGAGTGTTCGAAAAATAATAAAATAAAAGGTAGCTTCTGTACAGGTGCAACGCCTTTGGGCGGTGTCCACAGAAGCTTCGCTAGATTTACCTGCACCTCTGGCACTGGCGTAGAAAAGTGTAGGGAGATGCACTTCTGGTCGTATCTCAATACACGTACCGGAAGTAGACTTCCCTACACTTTTTTTCACCGTTGCAAGCAACGAGCCTAGAGAGTGTGGGAATTCCCTTGCTGCTACCCGCCTCGGGGAGTGACAAGGCACACCGGTTCAACAACACGAGGACCTTCAATCAGCTTTATCGCCCGCGCCGTGATCCAAAAAGGCGCATCCGCTGCTACGGCCCGTTATCAGCGGCGGAGCGCCGCTCGCGTGGCCAGTTGTCCTTGGCCCGGCCGGGGTGCTGGTGACCACTGACGATTGTCGGAGGGGCAACCTGGGCCAAACGCTTTGAATCCCCAGGTTGACCACATGTGTACACAGCGATTCATCGTCATTTACGACATGCATACGTTGTTTTCATCGAAGTCACCCTGCCCATTCTTTGTGTGTGACGATTTTTTGTGGGGGTGTTCTCCGCCTGCTGTAAAAATGCAGTGAATCTAGCGAAACGCCGTTGAGGGCAGTCTCGGCGATTTGGAGGCACACCACTGTCGTACTTACTGAACATACACATACAGCGGCGTAGACTTTCCACTTTCCCGGGGGGGGGGGGGGGGGGGGGTGGTGGTGCGGGGTACGTTCTCGCCAGAACTGGAGATTGAAGCTAACAAAAGCACGCTGGGTTTCCATTTCCCATGTATTTTGACAATAAAGGCAACGTGGGCGTTATTTTGTTTACATGCCACTACTACAAGCTGGTTACATGGCGCGTAAACAGCGTCTCGTTAAGGATGATGAACCGGGCCCGAAAGGGAAAGGCTCTGCCCTCCCCCCCCCCCCCCCCCCCCCCCCCCCCCCCTTCGTCCACGCCTATGTACACTTAAATACGGTACCAGAGTTTGGAAATGGAGGTTTGCATTGTCCGATGGCACGTGGAAGACGACAAATAGGATTATGTGCCCTATTCTTTCACTCTGCCAAAATGTCGAGCTGTTCGCTAGGCCTTTCTCGAAGGGGCTGGCTGTCGCTTGCCGGCCCGCATGTTATATCGTGTCAAGTAGTTACTTCGGTGAACCGGCTTTTTGACTACATGTGCGCTCGTCATTTTGAACCGGGGGGTTTTACGTATATGATATAAAGTTCGATCACCCCAAAGGTAGTGTTCTATGACGACCTTTTTATATAGAGTCCAACAGAGATGATATCTCTAAAGGTTGTCCCATTCGCATAAAATCTTCAATGGGTCACCCAAGTTTTTTCAAGGTGACCATCCTACCACCCGCTCAAAATTTCTGTTGTGATGACTCCCAACAAATTTTAAATTTCTTTTGCCAGAATAAGTGTGTTAAAAGTTTTCCCATTTTGTTCTGACCCCAACTTACTAGAATGAGTTGGCAAGTGAAACAGCTGCAAGTGAAATAGCCCCAACGTCAACAGACACGATTATTTCATGCCACTGCTGCGTGACTCTCCACTATGACTCAAACCTTGTAAGCCTGTTTAGCGCTTGTTTTCCAGCAGCAGTTGCGATTTTTTGTCTTGTGAAAGTTTTCAGCGTGCGTGCGATGATTCTTTTCGGTATTTCTTGTAAATTTATTTTTTGACAATCGCTTCTGAGTAGTTCAATTTTTTCGCGTTGATATATGTTATATAAAAATATTGAAATGTTTTTTCGCAATCCCATCTTTATGTAATGCCCCATTATGACCTTAAGAAGTACTTAAATAAATGCATGACTGTGAGTCCGTAAGGATGAGCACATTTCGCACGCCTTGCAAAATTCCAGCTCAAAACGTACATACCTAAAACTGGGTAAGCTAACGTCGTTTCTCAAGAAGGTTTATGTCTACCTGTTTTGAAGTTCAACTCAGAGCTAGTAAAACTTTAAAAAGATAAAGCCTGAACGGCGGCCGTGTGTTTACTATCCTACACCCGGCCTGCTCTTCGTTCTCATACATGCTTGTTTTATTGATGCCAGGTGGCGTGGCGAACACAAATACGCTAGAAACGTCATAGGAGAGGCTGTGACAAGGAGGATAACCAGATTATTGATTTGCGCAAAGATGCTGTTTCCGTTCGCATTTAGAAACAAACTAACTTTTCTGTTTGATAAAAAAACAAACATATTCTTTAATAAAAAAGTAGTTGTGAAGAATGTTTGTTTGAGTTTCTCGTCTGTTATTTTTTCCGCTCCTCCATCACTGATGTTGCTTGTAGTCGGCTGAATCACGGATCGAGTCTTGCTTTTCTGGAGTTGATTGGCACTACCGCGACCATCGCTTGACACCAGCAGTGCCATTGAACCCTTTCGAAATAACGTGAAAAAGTGAGATTTCTTTCTTTTGTCTCTATTCTGGACGATCAAACTTCGATGAAGTTGACTAGAAATGGTGAGAAACTTTTGTGTTGTAATGTGAACACTTCCTACACTGAAGTTTTACGTGGAAAACACTATTTTCTCCTCCGATGACTTTTTCCATGGGCCCCGAGGGCCTCACGAGTAGCCCGTGGGAACAAGGCTGTCATCCAAGCAGTCAGAAAGGTTCGGTTCGAGGCCGTAGACATAAAAATATTGATGTAACCCAAGTAGATCGCCAGTATTTAATTGTCAAAGTTTGTCAACAATTAACCGAGGGAGCGCTTTTGACATTTTCAGAGAAAAAAGCAAAACGCCTAAAATTATTTCATGGTATTAGAAACTGTTACCTGTGCTCACAGAGTGCTTGCAAAAAGTAAATATAATGTGGACTGAAAATCCACGGCGGAAGATCGAGCGAAACCTCCGATTCACGACGGATGTGAAAAACACTGCTTTCCACCGCGGCCTCTATTGAAATTCGTAAGTCGAGAACAAAAAATCCGACGAACTTGCGGTTTGTGGCTACTGCGTTTTTAGAGACGAAGCCATAACATATACAGACATGTCTCGTTAATATGGACACCTCCGTTCCCCAGAAAAATCGTCCATAATGTGAATCGTCCATAATAACGAATCAAGGTCAAAAACACAAACATTAGGTAATAATTGTTAAAAAAAAGCATTGTTTATTTCGCAAAGAACGAGGAGATATGAGTTTGCACTGACGCTTTCGATCCCACTTTAGTGTCCAAAAAGCGCAACACTTCGGCCACTTGAAGTGCACGTTCTCCGTCCCCCTCCTGCTCAAGGTAGGCGATCGCTGTCTCCAAGCCACGGCGAGCTTCACATCGAGTAACGGTTGGTCTCTCTTTTTCATCGTCTCTTTCTGTCGGCGCAAAGTTTTCGACAAGTTGAAGGCCCTGTTGAGCGGATTCACCGACAAGCTCCATGATCTGCTCGTCGCTCATAGGCTCCCGGCTGTTCGTCTCTTCGTCTATATCCAAGAATGCCGATGCCTCTTCATCTGGGTTTTTCTCACCGAGTTGTCGAAAAGCTTCACGAAGGGCCGCGAGCGGAAGTTTATCCATCGGATCCTCCACCTCCATAGCAGAGCTGTTAACAAGAATACCTGCGTGACGCCAGCAGTTCACAATGGTTTGAGGCCTCACCGCGTCCCACGCCCTCTTCAGCTTTTGAAGGCACCACCTCAAGTCAACAGTTTGCGGTTCGTTGTCTTCCGCGCAAGCGATGTAGTGCCGCACAAGTTCGCCTCTGTAGTGTGCCTTAACCGCGCGAATAATTCCTGCGTCCAAGGGCTGTATTTTGGCAGTCATGTTGGGTGGAAAGAACTTCAAGGTAAGGTCTTCATAGTCCGCACGAACAGAATGGCATGATGCGTTATCAACCAACAAAACAGCCCTCCTCTTCTCAGCCTTCAAGAAGCGGTCGAATTTTGCCAAGAAGATTTCAAATATCTTTCCTGTCATCCATGCTTTCTTGTTGCAATTGTAAGAGCAATACATGTTCGGGTCAAATGTCTTTC